CTCTGCATTTATTTCTAGAAATTTCTTAGTTTGTTCAAGAAGAAAAAAAACCGATTAGACACGTTTATGATAAAAGAAAGTTTATTTGAAAATTAAGAAAACATTAAACGAAAATATTTTCTTATAAACTTTAAGGAAATTTTCTTCTGCTTCAATAATTGCTGCATTGCATGTCTGGGTACGTCGACGAAACTTAAAAATTTTCATTCCATTTTCAGTCTTTTTAAAAACAACAGCACGTGTTAAAAATTTGTAACATAATTTCTCACGTACTTCTATTTGCACGAACGCAATCATAATTATGCTGTCAAAAAACATTAAAAATCTTTTTTTCTGAGTTCGTGTTAAAGTAAGTGTGAGTTTATTTTTTATTAAAACATATTTATTGAAATGCTTTCTCTGCATTTTCTTAAGATAAATAAATGAAGGAAAAAGAAAAAATGATGGAAATGAACGTAATGAATATAAATTAGGCGATATTTTGTCAGATACGTTTGAGTAGGAAAAGAAATTGTATCGAAATATTCATTTTTATTTCACCACCAAACATAAAAATCATTATGCTGTTATCAACAGCAGCTTTCTTACAAAATTTATGATTTCATGATGATGTAAAGCGAAAAAGAACCTAGTGATTTTAAACTCTTCCATCATTGTTATTCATTGTTATCTTCAATAACAAAGAACGATGTAATTTTGTATGCGAGTATGATACGCCTCCAGCAGACATGCGACACATGAAACCAAAACAACATCGTTACGGAACGCTAAGACTAACTTACAATACAATTCAGATGCGGAAACGATTCCTTGCTCTTGTAGTTGATTTTTTCCTTCTTCTTTAACCGACGATATAACAACAAGAAATGGAAAATTTCATGATTCACAACTTAAGACATGAGTAACTCTTAAATCTGTCCTCTGTGGATAGAAACACGCACAAGCTCGCAGACTCACAGACTCTCGAAGGAAAACTTCTCGAGGGTAATTATCGATCTCGTCATCTCGATTCTTATGACTTCAACATGCGTGGGTGTGCGATAAAATTCACTTTACGACAAATTTTTATGTTTTCCGCCATCGATAAAATTGAAAAAAAAAAAGTTTCCTTCTGTTTTCCTGATAGAATTTTATGTCTTTAGGCATTTCTCAGTACTTTCAAGGTACTAAAACTCTGAATTAAACTAGCGAGTAGAAAGTTTTCTCCTTAAATCACCTCACATCTAAAGTTCATCGCTCGAATACTCGACTCAGGAGTTTTATCTTTGTTTAGCATTCCAGACATCGCATGAATAGTTCTCTGGAGAAAATTAGCGGAAGTAGAAAAGCATATGAACATTGAATTATGCTGAAGACTCTGATGTTGGGGGAGGTTGATAGTTTCTATTTTCATGAAGTTTCTTCCCTTCGGCACAGCCCATTTCCTTAACTAAAGCAGTAATTTGTCTTGAATTATGTTCGCCTTCGCTGTGTTGTTGCGTTAACCTAAATTACTTCTCGATTAAATGGAAAAACAGTCGCACATTATGCACAATAACAAATGACCCCAAGCAGTCAACTAAAACGTTTTGATCGTTAGCGCGTTGATTGCTGAAACACATCATTTGAGATGACATTCATCGATCGAATGTTTCTTATTCTTGTGCTAATCATTTGCCTAACCATTAATAAGCGTAGATATTTAATAATCGATAACGTTTCCCACAATTTCCATTCCAATTTTGTGTGTAGTTGCGTGATGTTGTGATAAGAATCATTTATCATTCATTGAACATCAACAGTGACGTGAATAGAAACCTTTCGTTGAAAGCTTCTCATTGTTATTGGTCATCATGATCCAAATGGATTTCCATTCTCTATTCAACTTCCACAGACCAAATGGTGCTTAAGTGCTGAACAAGATTCTTCCATTTAATTAAAGGTTTGCAAAAAATATTTAACAATAGCTGTGGACTGAATCAATTTGAATTTGTCATTTGATGAAACTTCAGTTTGATTCAATAAAAGAAATTTCAATTCAGTGCAACATTCCGTGAGTCGTAACATCTCAAAGTCAATAAATTATCCAACATCTCACCCTTGTTGATGTTTATCGTCATCGCTCGATAATGACTTTTTAAATTATTTTTAATTTTCAACTTCATTTCCTACAATAATTTTTGTCATCAATTTGAATGTGAAACCAAAGACGTCTTCAAACAATTATGTTGCCGTTGATGCCATAGCTGCGCCGATGCTACGAGATAAGTGTTTGTAGCTTAAGTCTTTATTAATAGAATAGTGAAATAATTTATTTGATTTCTTGACAAAACAAACAACATTCTTGCTTATGAATTTCTTATATTTGATGATTAATGGTAATCAAACGAATACGCTTTTATTGAGGAAAATTAATTAGGATTTTGAATTATGTACGAAGATTAACTACAAATTTAAATCATCTTCGATTTAAAATATTTAGTTTAATGTTAATAAATGAATCGGAACAGTCATTGTACATAAGGAAATTTCGTGGAAATATCGACAGTGTTAAGTTAAATATCAACTGAAGGCATCAACAGCAGTTTATTTTAAATTTGATTTTCTTGATCTTCTTAGATATCTGTATTGTCAGAACATATCAAATATTGTAATTACTAATTAGTGNTGATTGCAAGTAGCTTCTTTGCAGACCAAATTTATCTGACGATTCTTATTCTCGTATAAAATATATTAATAAATTTATAATTGATGTTACTTCGGGCTATTCAGAGGGGAGCTCTGTTCTCGTTTATGAAAATTTACAAGCAGAAGCATAAAACAAAATAAAAATTCTTCTGCTTTAATAGAAATTTTTATAATTTCTTTTAAAAAAGACCTCAAAATGTATCATCCTGAATATCTACATTATTTTGAGTGATTGAAAAGCCAATTAACCTAATCCAATACTATTGGAAATAAAGCTGGTGAATTTGAAATCTCAATCCAATTGATAAAAAATCGGGTCATGCAAAAACCATCCCAACCTAACAAAATGAAAGTACGAAAACTTTTCCTTATCTTTCTTAAATCGTCAATCTTTAGGGAAATGAATTTTACGATTCTCATCGTGAATTCAATTTGCCTAATGCTTTTTTGCCTTTTGCATCCACTCCCATTGGTGAATGCTTCAAAGATTAACGAGAAAAAAATTCTTCCAAACTCTTTTAGGATTCAAGGAGTATCTTGATAAACAACCAGGAATGGGTTACAACATGATTTGATTCCCATATCAATGAATCATCCAACTGTGAGAAATTTAATTAAAAAATGGAAATGACTACATGGCATAGCAAAGTTCCCCCCAAAGTATGTCAATTTAGTAAAACAAAGCGTAGCTAACAATATGACAATTATTTAATTTCAAACGCAATTTTTCACAATCCACATCCACGGCATCAACTGAAGTCGAGTGTGTTGAGTGAGAGGATTAGACGAAACAGGAGACATAAAAATTGAAATTCCATCGCAGTACAACATCAAACAGGGTGCGGGAATATTTATTTGAGAGTGAATTTCGATGCTTCTGGGGCGATTATTTTGAGTGATTTTTCTGCGTTTAGGGGGAGATTGGAATAATGAAAAGCTAAATTCATTCATTTCTGGCTTCTTTTGTGCTTTAACTACCCTTGCATTCAAAAACTCCCCTTCCGAGAGAATTGCACGAGACGAAAAATCAAATTATTTACGAGCATTGCGTTCCCTTTCGATTTCCTTCTCCCGAACCCCCGAAATATGTTTTTATGTTCGGTGTTTGATTGTTAAAAGTGTAGCGAATTGCAACATATTAAATTAAATGATTGCGGAAATGTTTACCTTTTTGCCATCACGAAACTTCACGGTTCCCTCAATAATTGAGTTAATGTCGACCATGTTCGGTGATGTTGTGCTGTCTTGATCACCCTCCAATGTCACAACGATTTAAGTAATCCACAAAAGTATCGATTGAGTTCCCTCGTTTGTTTATGTTTTCACACTGGGCACATGTGATCGAATACAAATGTTTCGTCTGTTGATTTTCACATTTACTTTTTAATATGATTTTAATGAGTCAACATTTCCTTTTCTTCTTTTTATTTTGATGATGTAGCTACGTTTCGTTAATGCACTCGAAGCACTTTATACGTGACAACATTCAAGTTACATTTGAAGTAAAATTGTCTTCTGAATCGCTTCTCATTAGATTTAATGAAACAAGAAAGAAAATTTTTCTGTAAAGAACTGCGAGCTTCAATGATGTTGAGACATAAAGTCATAAAAACATTTTCATTTCACAATTTCCATTGCATTATCCTCATGAAACATTCATGAATGGAGATCTTATTCTCTTTTTATTCTTTGTGATTCTTTCGCAAAAATAATCCTATAGCTGAATAAATTCCGTTCGTTTCTTTTAAAAAGGAAACACTAAGCGAATCTCACTTTCTTCTTTTTTCAAGGATAATTTTTATTCAAACAACGAAAACGTTTTATATCAAAGGAAAAGTAAGTCAAACAAAAAAATTTCTCCGGCTTAGTTTGCTTTCAATCGATCCTTGCCATATCCGTAAACCAACATAAAAATTCACTCCACTTCATATCCGACTATGATAACGAGGGATTCAAAACATTTTTATTTCATTTCCCATCCTCCACTAATGCGATTGAATATTTTGTATCATTAACAACTTCAACTCAATTGCTCGACCTTTTTTTCGATTGCCTTTCACTGTGAGCCTTTTCAAACATTTCTATTATGGAGCATATTTAATATTCACAACACTCCGTTGAATGAAAATTATTTTCCATAAAATAAATTTTTTAATTTTCAAATATTTTCTTTCCTTCCGTTTTCATTCCAAATGAATAAACTTTGAACCAATTTATTCAAATTTATCCCGCTTTAGATGCTTATATTATTTTAACAAAGAAGCTTTTCCTGCACAATTCACAGTTTAAGGCGAGAAATATTTCGCTGATTGATTTATTGCAAGTAATTTGTAACTTTTCTCGTTCCGTACAATCGATTTCCTCTCCCCGTGCAACGGTGCCTTTGCTAGCTGTTGTCTGGCGAATAATTTTTTTATATTCTTTTATATTGCCGGGGGTACATTCACTAAAAAACTATTGCATTCAACTTCCATAGAAAACACAACCGGTCTACACAAAAAATTTTCACGCTGTGATTGAATCTAGGATCTACTCATGAAGAGCACCAAGTCGAGACTGATACAAAAGATTTTCCTTGCCAGAATCCACAAAGGGAGAGAATAGTCGAACATTTTTCAATCTTCTTGAATATTTCGAACTTTCTTTTCACTCTCTTTTTTTCCACAATTGAGAGAGAAAATTTTCGAACTTTGTTTTCAAGTTTGTTTTGTTCAGTTTTGTTATTCTCTCTTTTCCTTCTATTTCGAAAAAGAAAAATATTTGAATAGCTTCTTAGTTTATTTTTAGAAAACATCCACGTGACAAAGTTAAAAATAGATTTTTATGTTTTCAACAGAATCATGTTATGACTGCTTCTTAAGAAATTTATTTATGAATTTTTGCAGTTGCTAGATATGTATTTATGTAAAGGAAAGCAAGTTATGGAGAATTCTTATAAATTAATGAATATTTTCAACAAGGAAATTCAACTTTTTTACGTTAAGTAATCTTCAAATCATTCCCTCGATTGTTTCTATGATTATTTCGATAACAAACGACATTTGTCTGTGGCTAATTTATCATGAAATTTGTCATGTTTATTCTAGCAGTTTAATCATTGAAATTCCAAACTTTGCAACGCTAATTAACAACATTATATAATTACTCAGTAATTTAAATAACATTGAAACCAACTGTTTCATACATGTGGTGTGGTTTACAATATTGTCAAAATTTTCATAGTGTGTTTAAAATGATTTTGACAATATTTGCAATGTTTTTGAATTAAATTGATATGACAGCATTGCAACAGAAATTTATTGATCTACATACATAAATTTATTTTCCACCGCAAGAGTCGTCAAAACTTCTCTTGTTTACAAATCATATTTTATTGTAGCGATGTTTTCAAGCATCAAATTCAAATAATATTTTGTGTTCAATCATACTTTCATGAGAGTATTTATTTTGATGAATCTTGTTTGAATTAAATTACTGCATATCATCTGTTTTGTGTTTTCCCATGCATAACTTCATGAATAAGTAGGGAAAGAACGATGTCGTCTCAGATTATTTTCCTTTTTGAACTTGCTATCAGAAGTTTATTAGCTGACTTCTAATATTAACATATCATGGCGTATCTGGTGTCTCTTGAACTTATTTAATAATCTTAATAAGTAATTCATAAAAATGAATTCTTTAGGTCATTAAAAATATATTTTCTGAACTTTTATGACTGGACTGAAAACTTTTACAGCTTTTCTCAAATGAAAATTTTCAACCATAAAAGTTTGAAAATTCATTTGGCCAAAGGAAACAGACAGACATACTTAATTACTTTTTGCAGAACGGGTAACTTTTATAAATTTTTTCTCTACATAAAATTACTAAATGGAACTTTCACCGATTGGAGAGCTCAGAGCTCGGTTTCATTTTGTAATTAGAAAAAGATTTTTGGATTTATCTGCATTCATTTGGACTTTATTAACGTAACCATAGGAATATAAATGCAAGCTGATACATAAAAGTTTTTGGATTGGATTCGTCTTTCTTTACGATTTCTTAAAGTGTTTTCCATTTCAGAAGGCAACGAGACAGACAATACAAAACTTTTACTTTCCTAAAATGTAACAAATGTTCCATCACTTGTAATAACAAAATTGCCCAAGATTAAAGTATTTCTGACTTTATATCAACCTCTCTTGTAGGAAGAAAAATTGGTTTGAGATCTCAATTTCCTATCTACGCAAAGATTTTCATAAAACTTAAATTGATTTTTACCTTTTTGCTGCAACCCCCGTATGAACGGATACGAATTTGTTTCCGTTTCATTGAATGTTCTTTCGTTTTTGTTTTTTTTTCTTTTTTGGTTTTTGTATATCTAGACAGGATTCATAAATAATTCAGAGTTGAGCATCCAATTTAGCATCTTCATAAGCTCGAGAGCTTTTGTTCCCAAAAGAATTTCATTTCTGTTGCTCTGTAAAATCGATAAATTCAATCGGTTTGATATGTTCAGTTGTGTTTCCTTTCATTTCGTATGTAAATTTTGCTGTACATTTTGAAGGTAAATTACACCAACTCGAATTACTTTACTGATTTTCATTTTACATTTCTCTCTGAAAATTTTAGTAATTAAATTTAAATTTTTTAGTTAGATGCAAAAGCATTTCAAAGTTTAAAATTGACTCAAATTGACAAAATTAATTGAAATTACTAAACTTCTTTTATTAGGTTAAAGTTTCTTGGTGCGCTTTTCTGTCTTTCTTAACGAAAGGAAAGTTCACTAAGTAGAATGCTATCACGAGATGATAAACTTTATAAATTAATAAGAAAACTTTTGCGACAAATTTTTCAATATTTTAATTGAAACTTTGCATTCAGGAATTTTTCTTAAGTTTCCTTATGAAAATTGGAAGTTAAAGAAATTATCAAATAATTGAGAATTCGTATTTATGGAAGAAGAAAAGCAGAACATATTGAAATCATAAACATAAGTGTGAAAACATAAACATTGCTTGATTTGTTGTGACATTGGAGGGTGATCAAGACAGCACAACATCACCGAACATGGTCGACATTAACTCAATTATTGAGGGAACCGTGAAGTTTCGTGATGGCAAAAAGGTAAACATTTCCGCAATCATTTAATTTAATATGTTGCAATTCGCTACACTTTTAACAATCAAACACCGAACATAAAAACATATTTCGGGGGTTCGGGAGAAGGAAATCGAAAGGGAACGCAATGCTCGTAAATGATTTGATTTTTCGTCTCGTGCAATTCTCTCGGAAGGGGAGTTTTTGAATGCAAGGGTAGTTAAAGCACAAAAGAAGCCAGAAATGAATGAATTTAGCTTTTCATTATTCCAATCTCCCCCTAAACGCAGAAAAATCACTCAAAATAATCGCCCCAGAAGCATCGAAATTCACTCTCAAATAAATATTCCCGCACCCTGTTTGATGTTGTACTGCGATGGAATTTCAATTTTTATGTCTCCTGTTTCGTCTAATCCTCTCACTCAACACACTCGACTTCAGTTGATGCCGTGGATGTGGATTGTGAAAAATTGCGTTTGAAATTAAATAATTGTCATATTGTTAGCTACGCTTTGTTTTACTAAATTGACATACTTTGGGGGGAACTTTGCTATGCCATGTAGTCATTTCCATTTTTTAATTAAATTTCTCACAGTTGGATAATCTCATGATGTATGCTGATTCTTGCAAAAATATTTTGCGAGTGTGTTAAAAGCATGGAAATTTAAATACTTTGTCCATTCATTCTTTTGATACAAATCTGAAATGACTTTATTCTTAATCGAATAATAAAATGCGGAATAATTTTTTCTTTTTTGAAAGTTTGACAAGATTTCCCTTTGAGATTGAACTCATATGAACCGAGGGGAGAACATCAGAAAAATTGAATTTCAAATGAAATGTTTTCCCTGAGGATTGCTACTTGGGGAATAAAAGCGAATAAATTTCCACTGCTTTTGAATTGTTGTCAGCATCTCAAAAGAGTTTGAATACAGTTAATTCACGCTTGTACACATATCTCTCATGTTATTCAGATAAAAAACTCCACAAGAATGTTAAAAATTCCAAATTTCTGTCTTTCGTTTTTCGACAAAAAAATTCTTCGCATTCAACTTTTCCTCAACAATGAAAATTATTTCTTTGCAAACGCATCTCTTTCATCTCTTCATCATGAGTACAATATTTTCATTAAAAATTAACATTCGTTCAGAGCCCCGTCAAAAATTGTTTCCTTGTACGCATTTTACCACTGAATTTCATCCTTGAGGCATTTTCATTATTTATAATTTTTTCCAACACAGAAATGAGAAGGAAAACACTGAAAAAATAAAATTTTCATCATGCAAGGAAGAGTTGGAAACTCTTAAATTACGAGCCTAAATAAATTTCTGGTAGGATAAAATGAAAATGGAAACTGACAATGAATTGTGCAAAGTAAAAGGAAGAACGGAAACTTGGGATGAAGAGGAAAAAGTAAATCAGGGTGGAATGAAAGAACCGACAAACGAAATTGCTTCATAAAACTTGCGACGTTTATAGCATCGCCAGTAGACGAAAAATGAAAACTTTCATTTTTACATAAATCTTTATTCGTAGACATGAAAATGCTTCTTGCTACGTAAACATAAAAGAGGCGAATGAAGATAATTAATGTTTTAAAAAAATGTTCGAGCCATAAACATTAATAGGGAGACAGGAAACACTTTTAAATCAATTCGAATTCATCGTACAATCACTTTGGTCCCCAGCGTACTTATAATTTATAAGTAAGAATGTTGTTTGTTTTGTCAAGAAATCAAATAAATTATTTCACTATTCTATTAATAAAGACTTAAGCTACAAACACTTATCTCGTAGCATCGGCGCAGCTATGGCATCAACGGCAACATAATTGTTTGAAGACGTCTTTGGTTTCACATTCAAATTGATGACAAAAATTATTGTAGGAAATGAAGTTGAAAATTAAAAATAATTTAAAAAGTCATTATCGAGCGATGACGATAAACATCAACAAGGGTGAGATGTTGGATAATTTATTGACTTTGAGATGTTACTACTCACGGAATGTTGCACTGAATTGAAATTTCTTTTATTGAATCAAACTGAAGTTTCATCAAATGACAAATTCAAATTGATTCAGTCCACAGCTATTGTTAAANCAGAACATATTGAAATCATAAACATAAGTGTTAAAACATAAACATTGCTTGATTTGTTGTGACATTGGAGGGTGATCAAGACAGCACAACATCACCGAACATGGTCGACATTAACTCAATTATTGAGGGAACCGTGAAGTTTCGTGATGGCAAAAAGGTAAACATTTCCGCAATCATTTAATTTAATATGTTGCAATTCGCTACACTTTTAACAATCAAACACCGAACATAAAAACATATTTCGGGGGTTCGGGAGAAGGAAATCGAAAGGGAACGCAATGTTCGTAAATGATTTGATTTTTCGTCTCGTGCAATTCTCTCGGAAGGGGAGTTTTTGAATGCAAGGGTAGTTAAAGCACAAAAGAAGCCAGAAATGAATGAATTTAGCTTTTCATTATTCCAATCTCCCCCTAAACGCAGAAAAATCACTCAAAATAATCGCCCCAGAAGCATCGAAATTCACTCTCAAATAAATATTCCCGCACCCTGTTTGATGTTGTACTGCGATGGAATTTCAATTTTTATGTCTCCTGTTTCGTCTAATCCTCTCACTCAACACACTCGACTTCAGTTGATGCCGTGGATGTGGATTGTGAAAAATTGCGTTTGAAATTAAATAATTGTCATATTGTTAGCTACGCTTTGTTTTACTAAATTGACATACTTTGGGGGGAACTTTGCTATGCCATGTAGTCATTTCCATTTTTTAATTAAATTTCTCACAGTTGGATGATTCATTGATATGGGAATCAAATCATGTTGTAACCCATTCCTGGTTGTTTATCAAGATACTCCTTGAATCCTAAAAGAGTTTGGAAGAATTTTTTTCTCGTTAATCTTTGAAGCATTCACCAATGGGAGTGGATGCAAAAGGCAAAAAAGCATTAGGCAAATTGAATTCACGATGAGAATCGTAAAATTCATTTCCCTAAAGATTGACGATTTAAGAAAGATAAGGAAAAGTTTTCGTACTTTCATTTTGTTAGGTTGGGATGGTTTTTGCATGACCCGATTTTTTATCAATTGGATTGAGATTTCAAATTCACCAGCTTTATTTCCAATAGTATTGGATTAGGTTAATTGGCTTTTCAATCACTCAAAATAATGTAGATATTCAGGATGATACATTTTGAGGCCTTTTTTAAAAGAAATTATAAAAATTTCTATTAAAGCAGAAGAATTTTTATTTTGTTTTATGCTTCTGCTTGTAAATTTTCATAAACGAGAACAGAGCTCCCCTCTGAATAGCCCGAAGTAACATCAATTATAAATTTATTAATATATTTTATACGAGAATAAGAATCGTCAGATAAATTTGGTCTGCAAAGAAGCTACTTGCAATCAAAACGACAACGTAGAAAGTAAAAAATTGTGTACCGTGACAAAGAAATGAATTTAAAAAGAAGCGAGAATAAAAACGAAAACAATCAATTTATTTCATAGCTACAACAAATTAAATTTTAATTTAAAAAAAAAGTAATAAAAAATATCTTGTATGAAGGTTGAAATATTTCAGTTACTAGGCGAAGTGATTTCTGGAGTACTTAATACATTTAACGCGCAATTCGTTTTTGGGATGAAATCGACGCATTAAGTAAATTGAAATGTGTAAAATACTAATTCACTTTTATTACTTATTTATACATGTTTTATGTACATATTTACATATATATTTAAAAGTGTAGTATTATTCACCTATGACAGAAATAAAAAAATCATTAATTCTTAAAAAGGAAATTTCTGGCTTAATATATTTGACGCTAAAAACAATTTTGATTAATATTAATGCAGCATTTTTGCTACGTTTGCATGTCATGAGTGCTACATTCATATTATGTTGCGTCTTTTTTGATTAAAATAATGCAAAATATAGAAAGCTTCCTTTTCAATTATTTGAGCCATCTATTCAACTAAACTTCCAGATTGCATTGAACTTTGTTGCTTTATGACAATCAAGCCAGTTATGCATCCACATAATATATGTACATTGCAAATAAATTTCTATTACTTCTTTATCTTTATCTCGAGCTGAAAAATAGTCAAAACTGTTGAAATATTTGGAGTTATCATCTAGAATGTAATTTTAATGATTATCATATAAAACACGCTGAAATGCAGTCATTAATGAATTATAATACTTCATCGCTCAATAAGTTTTTAAATAGAAATAATTTCTGCATAATGATTCTTTTGGAATCACATAAATACGATAAAATGTTAACTAAATGAGCGGTTGTATACTAAATGACGTTTTGACACCAAAACTTTGTGTTTTATGTTGTTTTTGAAGTGAATAAAATATTTACCGCAGCTAAAACGGTATTGTTGATTTGTGATATCCAATAAAATTCTCTTTGGGTAATAAATTCATAGCAAAAATCGTTGATGTGTTAATATTTTACTGCTGGTTCTTTTTAGTCTGTAGTCCTGATTAAAATTTAAGGTTTCAAAAGCATTTTTAACCTACATACTTATTTCAATATTTATATGAAATGTAAATACTGACAGCTTAAGTTCACTAATTAGTAATTATAATATTGGTATGTTCTGACAATACAGATATCTAAGAAGATCAAGAAAATCAAAATCAAAATAAACTGCTCTTGATGCCTTCAGTTGATATTCAACTTAACACTGTCGACTTTTTCCACGAAATTTCCTTATGTACAATGACTGTTCCGATTCATTTATTAACATTAAACTAAATATTTTAAATCGAAGATGATTTAAATTTGTAGTTAATCTTCGTACATAATTCAAAATCCTAATTAATTTTCCTCAATAAAAGCGTATTCATTTGATTACCATTAATCATCAAATATAAGAAATTCATAAGCAAGAATGTTGTTTGTTTTGTCAAGAAATCAAATAAATTATTTCACTATTCTATTAATAAAGACTTAAGCTACAAACACTTATCTCGTAATATCGACGCAACTATGGCATCAACGGCAACATAATTGTTTGAAGACGTCTTTGGTTTCACATTCAAATTGATGACAAAAATTATTGTAGGAAATGAAGTTGAAAATTAAAAATAATTTAAAAAGTCATTATCGAGCGATGACGATAAACATCAACAAGGGTGAGATGTTGGATAATTTATTGACTTTGAGATGTTACGACTCACGGAATGTTGCACTGAATTGAAATTTCTTTTATTGAATCAAACTGAAGTTTCATCAAATGACAAATTCAAATTGATTCAGTCCACAGCTATTGTTAAATATTTTTTGCAAACCTTTAATTAAATGGAAGAATCTTGTTCAGCACTTAAGCACCATTTGGTCTGTGGAAGTTGAATAGAGAATGGAAATCCATTTGGATCATGATGACCAATAACAATGAGAAGCTTTCAACGAAAGGTTTCTATTCACGTCACTGTTGATGTTCAATGAATGATAAATGATTCTTATCACAACATCACGCAACTACACACAAAATTGGAATGGAAATTGTGGGAAACGTTATCGATTATTAAATATCTACGCTTATTAATGGTTAGGCAAATGATTAGCACAAGAATAAGAAACATTCGATCGATGAATGTCATCTCAAATGATGTGTTTCAGCAATCAACGCGCTAACGATCAAAACGTTTTAGTTGACTGCTTGGGGTCATTTGTTATTGTGCATAATGTGCGACTGTTTTTTTCCATTTAATCGAGAAGTAATTTAGGTTAACGCAACAACACAACGAAGGCGAACATAATTCAAGACAAATTACTGCTTTAGTTAAGGAAATGGGCTGTGCCGAAGGGAAGAAACTTCATGAAAATAGAAACTATCAACCTCCCCCAACATCAGAGTCTTCAGCATAATTCAATGTTCATATGCTTTTCTACTTCCGCTAATTTTCTCCAGAGAACTATTCATGCGATGTCTGGAATGCTAAACAAAGATAAAACTCCTGAGTCGAGTATTCGAGCGATGAACTTTAGTTGTGAGGTGATTTAAGGAGAAAACTTTCTACTCGCTAGTTTAATTCAGAGTTTTAGTACCTTGAAAGTACTGAGAAATGCCTAAAGACATAAAATTCTATCAGGAAAACAGAAGGAAACTTTTTTTTTTTCAATTTTATCGATGGCGGAAAACATAAAAATTTGTCGTAAAGTGAATTTTATCGCACACCCACGCATGTTGAAGTCACAAGAATCGAGATAACGAGATCGATAATTACCCTCGAGAAGTTTTCCTTCGAGAGTCTGTGAGTCTGCGAGCTTGTGCGTGTTTCTATCCACAGAGGACAGATTTAAGAGTTACTCATGTCTTAAGTTGTGAATCATGAAATTTTCCATTTCTTGTTGTTATATCGTCGGTTAAAGAAGAAGGAAGAAATCAACAACAACAACAACAACAAGAGCAAGGAATCGTTTCCGCATCTGAATTGTATTGTAAGTTAGTCTTAGCGTTCCGTAACGATGTTGTTTTGGTTTCATGTGTCGCATGTCTGCTGGAGGCGTATCATACTCGCATACAAAATTACATCGTTCTTTGTTATTGAAGATAACAATGAATAACAATTATGGAAGGTTTTTTTTAATTTCGATTGATTTATTTACAGTGAATGGAAATGTTTCAATCAAAATTCAATTCTATTTGTACATCTCTATTGATTCTCTATTGACCTTAACGACTGTCGCTAGTGAAAAAAATTATAAATTGTAATGTTGTTAGCGTTTGTATTTATCTCAAATTCCATCCCGACAATGATTATTTGCTTCTGCATCTGCTTTTTTCTCTTCTGCTTTTTCGATGAAAAGTCAACATATTAATATTCATTACAGATCGCGTATCTTGCCGTAAATTACTCGTTTTGCATCTTTATCTCTTATGAAAAAGGGAAGCTTACTGTTGACTTCTGTAGGATTTCTTCGTTCATGTAGAAAGAAAACTTAACAGAATTTAAATGTTCACAGACATAATAATTATGATCCTTCTCTTGTAGATTACAGAACTCGAGGAAATAAGTCATAGCAAGTCGTAACAGGAGTTGTTATGTTTTAATTAATAATTCGAGATGTGAATTGTAGAAACCTCAACAATACATTTAACTGCACACAATGTGGTAATCAACAAGAATATTTTTAAGCTATGTTTGCCTTCATTTTATTTACATTCCACTTTTATGCCACAAACGTGCCTCTAATCAGTTTCCCTTCTTCTTCAATAAGCAACATACATGCAAAAGAAAGTTGATTGTGTCATAATTTTTTATTCAAATCCCTGAGCCAACAGAGATAAAAATTTATCGATTTTTCATGCAAAAATATTTCGTTTTTATCGATGATGAAATAAATGAAACAGTGATAGAAGCATTTTTCTTTTGTGATGATAAATGGATTTAAGATGAGATAGAGAGAATGGAAGGAAAATAAATTGCACAATGTTGAGTTTCTCGATGTGGAAAGCCAAATATTAGCCTCTGAATATCGATGAGTGAAAGGGGAAAGAATCGAAGAAGTGAATTGAGGTGTTTCCACAAGAATTTATTTATTCCACCTATGAAGAATGGAAACATTTTCAGTGTCGAAGACGAACTTAGATGAGATTCTCAAAGACGTCTTTAAACATTATTTTCTTCTTTTACCAATAACGAGAACTTCATTCTCGATGATGATGCTCTGAACGTTCTGAACAAAAAAAAATTCATTTTATGATTTATGAGTCGAAAATAGTTTGTGAACGAGAAAACAATTTTTCATTACGAACTGAACAGTAAAAGTTAAAGTTAAAAAGAGGGAAAGGAATGAAAAACTATTTTCAAGCTCAGGGCGGTGATAAATTTAATGATTCCGCTCTTTGTCTGAACTGAAATGCATCAATGAGTTCGAGCATGTGTGATAATTGGAAGAACATTAGAGGGAGATTTGAAATTCGAATACGAATGAGTTTGATGAAGAAATGCATCGTCGATGACATCTCAAATCGATAATGTTGACGAGACTCAAATTCTAATTGTTGTCAATTGAGTCGTCGGCTTATCGAACATTCATTGACAACGCGAAATATTTCAACGAGCGATCACGCCATGAAATTTGCAATTGTGACGAGATGAACGAATGTTCATAATTGGCAAATGGTTTCGAATAGTTATGAACGAATGTCCGCAGGCGAAACTTCCACTACAATGGTTAACAACTGCTCGTGTTTGCATTTCTCGTGATCCCTTCCAAGTATTTATTTATTATTATTATTTTTACCACACGCTGAGTGCGATGCTCGAATGACATTAAACCAATCGATTTTCTCTCTTTCGATGTTTCCACTGACAGTGGGCTATAAAGTTGTTGTTCAAGTGCAATAACGACACAAAACAAAAAATGTTTCCATTCATTCATCATAACAAATTTATGAGAACTTCATCGCAATAATTTTCGTCTTTTGGCATCGTCTCCCCTTCTTCGTAGTTTTCATTCTGCTTTTAATTCGCAAATCATAAGCTCAGCTACGAAAGTAAACGATGCTGGGTCGTTCATTAATTTTGCACGATTAAATAATTTCGATATCACATCGAGTAAAACTCATAAAGCATTCAAAATAAAGTCGGAAACGAAGTCAGTCGAATGTAAGAAAATGATTAAAGCGAATTTATGTTTCAGTTCGATGTATAAATGTGTGATGAGGGTGAACATATTTGCAAAATTTATCGTAAAATAAAGGATCGCTTCGCTAGTAGAGAAAGAAACTCTCGACAGCTTTGATCCGATGCAATATTTAGTTCAGATTTCTTTTAATTTTTTATAAACATTCAGCAGCAACAGCAGCTGTATTTTAATGAACTTGTAACAAGTGCCTTCCTAATGTCAAGAGCAAGGCAAGGGAAAGAGAGAAGAAAAAAATTAGAATAACAATGAGCGGGGTTTTGTTTTGGAATCATGCAAGATGTCACGTCATGATTAAGCCACTCTTGCTTCTCACAGAGACTGAAGAAACATTAAATGAATTAATGCTCTATGACAGACACTTCCTGACTCTCCCGTGTCCCTTTTAGTGCCGGAATCGAAAACAAGATGGAATTGAATTGCGTCATGCGGTTCCGATAGTCACAGAATTTATTAAGAAAATCATAAATTTCATCATTCAGAAAAGTTTTTCTTCCGGAAAGAAGATTTGAGGATTAAGAAAGTTTCATTAATTCCACATCCACTCCATTAGTTTTGATTCAATATGGAAATTTAAAAGTTTTCATCTCGAATCCGTTTCACCTTTCTTCATTTAAATAGTTTTTCTGTCAGCAATCTCGAGCCGCTCTCATAAAAATCTTTCATGCAATCAAAATCCAATTTCAAGTCGTTATTCCAGTGAAATGCTGAAACAAACTTCCATCATTGCAAACAATTTAAGTTCAAATTTGATTTTCATTCATTTATGCTTGAAAAGCAAAACGATATCGTTTCCCGACACAATCGGTTTCCATAGTTCTCTTCGAATATTTCGACTTTCAGTTGTTCAAACAAATATGTTTCTGATGTGACGACATTTAAATATTTGAACAAAAGTTCTGAAAAACTAACTCAAGTTTTCAAAGACAAATGGGATTGTCACAACTTTGAGTAGGCTCAATTCTTTAAATCCAACTTTCGTAATCATTTATTACTTTTGAGTATTTATTGATTTTCAACACCAAGAAAACTGTTCCGATGAAGAAGACAATTATGAAGAATTTTTCGATATTCTCGATTTTTGACGTGGCGTAATTTTGATGAATTTTCTATGATTTTATAGTTCTTAATTAGGTTATTCTCTGAAATATATTTCAACTTAACTCGTTAGATGAATTATGCAAAATAAGTGAAACTTTGGTGAAATTAGACAAATTTATTTAAATATTTTTGCTTCGAAAATTTTGATTTTATTCAGGAATTGATTGAAATTGTAAAAATACGAACACAGCTTCTTATGGATATGGTGGACAAATTCTCACACATCTGTTTCCATCCATGCTTTCCAATGGATCTTCACAGAAGCAACGAGCAACTCGTTCTTCAGGATTTTCACAATATGGTAAATATCCTCGACAAATACGATCGTCACAATCCCATGTGGGTCCCAATCTATAAACTTGACCTTCAGGACACTTCATGGCTTCTTCACATTTCTCCACTGGGATGCCATTAAAACTTTTGATGTCAAACAGACCTTTTACAAGTTTCATTTCTTATTGTTTTTAAATATATTATCACGTCACTGACGTCAGCACTTTGAGGAAAGTGGCAAACCACGAAAAAGATTTTAAAATTTTCACCTGCTTAAACATTAAACGAATATACACTGCACTAAAGTTTGCCTCTGAAAAACAAAGTTTAAGTATTTGAGAATGCTTAGTGAACTAATGAATTTAGTTGAGTTCGAAGCTTCTTTTTAGATATCGTTAAATATCATTAAAATACCAAATAAAAATTTATCTTTTACTTTTTTTATCAAATGATTTTCTTAAACCTATTTGACATTTTATTTACCGAGATTGTACAGATAGAGTTAATTAATTCCATTAAAAAATAAATTCTCGTTGCATTGAGGTTTCAACTTTTGTAAGTTATGGAAAAACTTAATGTGTGCTTGGCGTTAGTGAATTTTCATAACGACATTAACAATCATTCAAGTGATCTATTGTAGCTTATTTCAAAATCAAGCAAAGAAGAAATTATGTTTCGATGGAAAACATGTTATTATTAATTAAATTTAATTCTTCTTTGTTCTTCAAGATTAAAATTGGAAATTACGATTCCTAACTTTTGAACGAACATTGCCGAATCCTCCTGAATTTCAAGATAATATTTTTGTTCTATTCCTCTTCACCTTATTTAATAAATAATAAAGAAAGTTAGATCAAAGCTGGTTTCATTTTTTAAGCTCTTTTGATGATAAAGTTTGAAACATCAAAAAAGATTCCCTTGAGCAAATATTATTGACTTATTTTTGAAAATTTAGAAGAAATTATTAATAAAAGTTTTGAATCTTCAGACAGGTTGCTTATATTATGTCAATTTTGGTGTACAGAATTTAATGTTTAATAAGAGCGCCTTCAAATTTCTGTGTTACAAATTCAATTTCTTCTTTTTGGATTGCGATTTTTAATCATAAGAAATTTAATTAAACAGGTCAATAAAATGAAAAATTCATCAGTTGTTCAATAATCTGGGTTTTCCCTGAATTTAAACTTCTAACATCATTCGATGATAAAGGTGAATGATTTAATAAACTCATAAAAACATTAAACCAATTGTAAAATATTGAAGTTAAATATTTTTAATATCTGTCCACAAAAAGCAACTGTCATTATTACGCAACAATCATTTTTCGTACAATATAAATTGAGCTTTATTTGAAACACTCCTAAAATTAAAAATCATTTTTAGTTGGAAGCAGAAGTTGAATGTTGAATATGTCAGCTCGTTGGGGTTTAAATATTTTAATATTTTATTTAATTGTTGATAAAATTAAAGCTTCTGATGTAGGCAATAAATTTTTGGAATTTGATATCGTTCCAGATATCATTGATTGTGTGCCTAGTAGCATGGATTTACTATCAATTTCCTATCCATCTGGTGTGGATGTCAACTTAGGGAATATTTTGACACCTACACAAGTAAAAGATCGTCCAAATGTAACATGGACCGGAGACGATTGTGATCTCTTCACTTTACTTATGACTGGTATTTGAGTTTAAATCATTGATTATTATGGATAATAACAGATCAAAATTTTAGATACTGATTTGCCATCAAGACAAATGAGAATGGGGGAATTTAGACATTGGTTGGTGATTAACATTCAAGGAAATGATCTCAATTCTGGTACAACTGCTGTTAATTTTCTTGGATCAGGAACACCTCCATTCTCCGGTTTACATCGATATACATTTCTCTTATTCAAACAACCTTTAGGGAAAATGAATTTTGATTTGTCATGTTTCCATAATAACGTCGCCATGGCTCGCCAATCGCAAGTGACACGAAACTTTATCACCAAATATAGTTTGGAAATCGTTGCAGGAAACTTTTATCAATGCGAATACGATGAAACTGTTCCTCTTATATTAAAACAGCTGGCTGGTCAATGCTTGCACAAATAAAGGAAGATCAGACATTGCGACGCAGAGTGTAAATCAACAAAAAGTTTGTTGTCAACTGAATTCGAAGGAAATATTTTAATTTCCCCAATTAAACTGTTTTTCAACTTTTAACATGTTTAAACGTATCTACTGCTTTGATCACGAATTAATTCATTGGAAATTTTAGGAGTTTCATAAACCTAGACTCTCGTAATAAATTTAAAATACTTACAACAATAAACCTGAGCAAATTGACGTCAGATTTGAAGTTCTATCTAAATAATTACTAAGAATTAAAACAACTTGGTGGGACAACTTTTAGCAAAGTCTTGAGAATATTTAAGTCATCTGCTGAATTTTGCTGAATTTGCGACCTGAAATTTCAGATCCAGATGTACTTCCAAGTGACAATCCAACTTTAAGCGAGTGTAGGCATTGGTAGATGGTCAACATTCATAATAACTATGTTGGTCAAACAATTTTCCAATACATTGGATCAGGTCCACCAAAGGATTTTTAAGCAAACTAAATGAAGAGTTGAAGCTGATTAACTTTATGTATCGGATCACTCATTATTAGGATGTGCTTCAACGTCGATTAAAGGATTAAATTCAAAATATCGTTTACACATTGTTGCTGGAAGCTTTTATCAAGCTGAATACGATGATTATGTCCCAATCTTGTATACTTATTTAGCTTTCTGGAAAACTCAGATTTGTTCCACAAGATCAAAATGTTTACTCATTGATGTTATTTGCAATTACATGTACGTAAACAGATGAACTGCAGAAAGAAGTCTGTGTCAATAAATTCTGCAGATTTAATAAAAGCTCAAGTGCTCAAGTACTCAACTCAATAATTAAATAATTAAAATATTTTGATATGCTTGTTATGTCGTTCAAGGAGTAAATTATACAACAAGTCAAAAAATTAAAAAAGGTTCGAACTTACCGGGCATTCAAAACAACATCATTCAAGTTCATTAAACTCTTTATCGATATTAACATCTCAACACCATGCATTGTGTAAGTATTCATAAGTTATAAAAACAAAATGTAAATTAGATAATTTTATGCAACGAATTGTGAAGAAATGAACGACACACTAAGAAGATTTTAATATCTTCACATATTTATACAAACACATTCACTGTACATATTCAATTTTCTGGTAAGATTATGAAGAAGAAAAACCGGTTCGAGATGCTTTTTTTATGCAAAGGTTCGAGAATGTTTAAGTCAACTGTTGAATCTCGTCAGCTTCGCCACGAAAGCTTTTTTTCTTATACTCGGCAATCTAACTTTTAAAGAAAAATATGTCAGGAAAATTATTTTGTATCATATTTCTACTTTTCCTGGCTTGTTATCAGTCTGAAGCAACAAGAGAAGTACAAGACAAGTTTCGTGATGAAAATATTCTTCCAGATGTACTCGATGAGTTACCTGATATCGATTTGTTGAACATTACGTATCCATCAGGAGTTAAAGTGAATTTGGGCAACGTGTTAACCCCAACTAAAGTGAAAGATGAACCAACAGTGAAATGGAATAGTGAAGACGGCGTCTTTTACACATTGCTGATGACTGGTAATGTCTGACATCTACTTTTGAAATTCTTTACATTCTTGCTTAACTTTATAATTACAGACCCAGATGCACCTTCAAGAAAAAATCCAATTCGAAGAGAGTTTAGACATTGGTTGACAATCAACATTCATGACAGCGATTTAAATTGTGGCGAAACGATTTTCCAATACATTGGATCGGGTCCACCAAAGGATACTGGTTTGCATCGTTATGTTTTCCTTCTTTTCAAGCAAACTAAAGGAAGACTTGAATTCGATTCACCTTATGTATCCGATCACTCATCTTTAGGACGTGCTTCAACGTCAACAAAAGATTTGATTTCAAAATATGACTTAAAACTTGTTGCTGGAAACTTTTATCAAGCTGAATATGACGAATATGTTCCAATTTTGCATAGTCAACTTGCTGGAAAATCAACTTAATCTGGAAAAAGGGTTCTGCAATAATAAAATATCTTCTTAATAGTGTTGTTTGCGACTGTGTACAAACAGACGTAGAATGAAGCATGTTTCAATAAAATCCACAATTCTTGAATAAAAATAAATTCTATGAAATGCAATACAATCTATGCTAATTTTATAGATTAGAATTCTGGAGAACTAACGCTTAATTAATTATTTAACGATTATTGTTATTATTTAACGGAGAAATAGAAAAGTTTTGAAGTATTCTTTCAGATAACCCGGGCATATATGAACATTAAATGTCTGTTTAGATGAACCAGAAGCTTCAAACAGTGATAGATAAGGTTTACTGCTAGATGGAGGTGGTCAGATGATCCACGAAAAATTATAAATAAATTTTGTGTACAAATAATATTGCCTTAAACTGATAAATCACATCACACGTAAAAAAGCTGTGTTGAGGAAACAACTGATAACGAAAATTATATAAGAGATCTGTACGAATTATTTAATTTGAGTAAATCTCAATTTGACAAACACTTTTATGAAAAATATTCTAAATTTGGTTATAAAATATGCAACATTATCAGAATTATTTCAGTTTTGCTTGAATGTTCAAACATGAAGGGACTTTTCTTAATATTTTTATTCTGCTTTTTCGAATTTTCTATTCAAACTTTTAATGATAGTTTGGAAAAAACATGTGTAATCAAATACCTTAAGGAACGAGGACTTCTAAAAAGTAACTTTCCTGAGCCAGTAGAAGCAGTCCCCACTTGTGATGACATAGCTCGAAATGTTTCCGCAAGATTCGAAGCAGATGGACTTTTATTAGACGGGTATGGGGATTCTATAAATAATGACTGCCTTGTGGAGCAGGTCAAGAATACAAGTTGCCGAGATAAAGCAATGGCACGAGTTGTTGTTCAGATTTGCAATGTTTCTGAAGATTACTTAAACGAAACTGATGATGAAAAAAACGCAATGGAAGATATTTTAAAAAATGCCAACGAGTTTTGTGATGCTGATGAATCTATTCGAAAAGGTCGATATTGCATAACCAAGTTAATCATTGATGAAAGGATTATTAATGGAAGTGATGTCGGTACAAATCCCTCAAATATCGACGCAACAGATATTGATTGTGAAAGTATCATAAAACCATATAGAGAAAAATTTGAATTCATGTACATACGCCAATTAAAAGAATTATCTGCACTTCAGATAGATTGTGTCATAGGAGTTGTCAGAAAGAATAAAATTTTTGAAATTACGAGCACATTGGGCATTTTGGATAATCTTAAAATGGACAAAAAATTAAAAGACAAAATAGACCTGAGAGAAAATCGAAAATTAAGATCGCTCAGCACTGAATATAAAGCATGCGTAGACAATAACTAAACTAAAAAAGAAAATAAAAAAGTATTTTTATAACAACAAAATTTTGAGCACTTTTTATTGTTTACTAAAAATTTATGACATTGAAAAAGTCATAAACAAGAAAGATTATCTAACGAAACGAGTTTCATATATACAAATTCTATGTAAAGATTGAAAACATTGATTAATATTTTATTTGATAAGAGAAATGGTTAAATTTCGTTGGCATCTGTGACAACAAGTTTAATAAATTAAGATTCAAAACAAGAAGCTAAGAATTCTATTCTATCATGAGTCATGACAACAAAATTTGTTTTTTGTAATTAAAAGATTGAAATAGCAAGTTTTGTTCCTTTTGCAGATGAATGAAAATTATTAAAATTTTAATGTGCCTACCTAATAATAAAGTGTGATTAAAATCTATTTAAATGTTTGGTTTGAATTACGCGATGGCTCAAATTATCGAATGAACTTCTGATGAGAACGTCGAGTGAATCATTTAAACCTCATTTATTCAGCCAAATAAAAGTGAACAGTCACTCGATGGCTGTCGTTTGGTTAAAATCAAAACCGTAGAAATATCTTTCAAAGCATGTTACGTCATCTCTTACTTGTATTAACAATTATCTGCTTCACAATTCATAATGTTGATACGACAGTTGTAAAAGAAATATTTGAGCATGAAGAAATCTTCAAAGATGTTATAGGTGAAGCTACAACAATAAATTTATTAAATATTTCTTATCCATCGGGAGTTAAAGTTAATCTGGGAAATATTTTGACACCAACTGAAGTTAAAGATGAACCTACAATTGAGTTCAAAGGTGATGAAGGAGCTTTTTATGCTTTATTAATGACTGGTAGTAATGAATCTTCAATTTTAATGTTTTTAAAAATATATTCAATCTTCTTATTTTAGATCCCGATGCTCCATCAAGAATGGAGCCAACGGCAAGGGAGTTCAGACATTGGTTGAAAGTTAATATTCCTAGTAATGACTTAAATAATGGCGAGACCATTGTTCAGTTTGCCGAATCAGGTCCACCTATGCACACTGGATTACATCGATACATTTTCCTTCTCTTCAAACAGATTCAAGGCAAATCTAGTTTCAATTTACCTTTCATTCCAAGTCGCACGATTCGTGGAAGAATATCAACATCAACAAAAAATCTCAAAGAAAGCATGAATTTGGAGCTAGTAGCAGGAAATTTCTTTTTAGCTGAATACGATGAATATGTCAATAACATTCATGAACAATTTTCTGAGTAAACACAAAAATCCAGATTTATCCACCTAATTGGAGCAAAAACATTGAAACAAAAAATTATCTCAATTAAAAACTGTCGAGAAATACAAAAATAAAAATTATTGATGTATAATCACATATCGTAATTAACATTACATTGAATAATTCTACAATACATAAATTGTATCTACCTTGAATTATCGTAAATCATGAAGTAAACATATTTGCAAGCATTGATCTTTGTTTACCATTTCAAAGATATAATTACCGTCGAATGAATTGTCATTTTAATGTAACTAACTGACAAATTTATCAATTCAGTTTCAATTCGGTCTTCAGTTGTGTTGTAATAAAATTAATCTTTGGCTTTATTTAATAAATCAGAAGGTTTAAAATTCTTTTCACAACATGGAAGTATGGAAAAAAATTATTTTCATTTCTTATATTTTAATCTTTGCGAAGTCGGAATTTTTTTACGTGGAAGAACTCATTCCGCGATATTTAAGTTTCCTCGTTAAAGAAAATAACAAGAAGGAACTGCAAACTCAAAAACATGACGTTGTTTTGATTCAAATGGAATTAAATTATCGCACAAACTGTTATGAAAACATTTTGGAAGAATTATTAAAAGAAAATCCTGAGAATCCAATTTTCACTCATTCAAATTTAAATTCATTTGAAATTGAAGGCATTCATACATCTTCGTTTTTTATAATCGTAACTGATGTGACAAACTCTGTAAGTATTTAAAAGTGTCCAACAATTTATCTGTCTGGCTAATACTTTTTTACCATCTTAGACAATTTTGTTTGAATTGTTTAAAAAAATCTTCAATGTACCAAAGAACTTGATTCGTAATTATTCGAAGTTTGTTTTGGTTCATACAAGACTTCAAAGTCTCAATCTTCTAACAATGATCTTCATTATATTTGATCATTTTGGAATCACTAATGGAGTAGTTATTCGCCAAAATGATAAACTTACAGTTTTCAAAGGAATGATGTTTTTGAAGACATTGGAACAAATTAAAACTCAAGATTTATATAACTTTGATTTGGTGTTTCCTGACAAATTAAAAAATCTTCACAATTGTCAAGTTAACCTGTTTTTTATTCAAGAGGAGACAACATGTGTCATATTGAATGGTGAAGTCGACGGAGTTCATTACCGATTTCTTCGAATGATTTTGAAGAAATATAATGCTACAATGAATATTACAAAAAGCATTGACATTTCCGATGGAAGAATTATCACGAAAGAATTGCAAGAGTTCTTTAAGCTGTATTCAGTGAGTTTATCACTTTCTACTCTGTTTACGCCCCAAGAATACACAAAGGAAGTAAACACTTATGATGAAGATGGATTCTGTGCGTTGATCCCAAAACCACAAAGAGTAACGTTTTTGCATTTCATCCTCTCGCCATTTGATTTATTTTCATGGGTCGGAATGATTTCATCGATTGTCTTATGCAGCATTCTATGGAAGTTTCTGAAGAAACGACTTGCGAAAATAAATTCGTCATTTTACTTCGCTTTCGCCATGGTGGCTAACTTCTTGGGACAGTCAATTCCATTGAGAAGCTCACGATGGAATCAAAAGCTTTTACTTCAAGTTTGTATCCTTATGACGTTTATCATGGGGAATTCTTATCAATCTCTCATCATCTCTACAATGTTGACATCTCGCGAAGGTTTGAGAATTAAAACGTGGGAAGAAATGTTTAACAGCAGCTTAACATATAAAGTAGACTCAATATTTAAAAGAACATTGGCCGAATCGGGAGAATTTGCAACAGTAATCAATCGTATGAGTCCTTTCGATAAATATTCTGACTATCAAAATTACGCTAATGAAGAAATCGCAATAATTGCAACATGCAATCAAATTGAGAAAAATTATTACAAAACTGAAGTTTCGAACTCTTTCTATCTTTTACCTGGACGATTTAATCCTTTTTATGTAAGGTTTCCCTTGGGTCCATGGAATCCATTATATGAACTTCTCCAAAGGAATTTTGATTATTTGTTTGAGTCAGGAATACGACAACCCATGCATAGATTTTTTCAGGATCGTGACAAGAAATATATCGAAAGTGAAATAAGATTTATTGAAAATGAAGAATATTTGCTTAAGATGAATGATGTTTATGGAATCTTTTATATTCTTCTCGTTGCACATCTCATCAGCATTTTAACCTTCTTGTGTGAATTGTTATGGAGTTTTAAGCAGAGAAGGAAATCTCGAAGGGTGAAAAATCAAGCTGAATCAGAAAATCAATGATATGACCGCATCAGAAGACAAGTAATTTAAAAACTTTAGCACTTCTACTTGCAAGCAGCAATAAAATTCAATTTTTCTGTCAACGTTTGCATGTGCATTTATTCTAGAAATTGCATGCAAATCAACATAAATCATTTGCAGGAAAAACTGCAATCAATTGAAATATTTTATTCGAAATGAATTGAGAACGTATTTCTGTGTCTGAGTTCACTGGCACATCTCAATGCTGTTGCTGTTGATGTCATTTAATAAATTATTCATTTTTTTATGGTTCTCAATTTGTAGACATAAATTACATCGCAAACTCTCTTTCGAGATATTTTCATGACTTTCTTTAGAATTTGCATATTAAAATTATTATTTTTCCTTTAGTGAGGGATAAAGGAAAATATTATTACAAAGGAAAAGCAGGTTGCATGAATTATATTGAATTTACTTTAATAAATATTGAATCAGCATCTTCAATTCAATTCTTTTGTACTACAGCTGATGCCAAAAGGCTTTTTGAAACGAACGATAAACAAATAACTTTTTTTTTATTAAATTAAACTTCATCAAAATGACAGACGAGTTTGTTGTTTGCTTTTGTCATCAAATCAACTGAGGCTGATTTTTCATGATGAAGTAAACACATTGATAGAAATGTTTTCTATGTTAGATAAACTTCGTAAGAATAAGAAAGATGTTAGGGATGAAATTAGTATTCGCTTCGATGCTGATAGAAACTCAATCAGCATCCATCGAAACCTGACATTTCTTGACGATTAACTTTCTAATTAGAAATTTGATTTCTCTCAGAAATGTTCTTGAATAAACTCATGTTTTTTAATTTTTAAATTAAGCAAAACCTACCAAATATTAATATTCAAAACGAGATCCGAATTTTCTTAAATTCGATTAGAGACTCAACGAAAATTAAAAAAGTTTCATCAAGAATTTTCTTCATCGTCTTCATTGTTCATCATGATTTGCATAATAAATTGAGAAAATGAAGGTTACAACAAAATCGCTTATGAAATATCATTTACCCTCCAGTTAGCATCACTTTTAATAAGAACAAGTCCCAGCAGGGATTTCTTACTCGACAGAATCTTTCCCAACTTTCAACATTTCTCTTTTTTTTTTGCTTTCCTTTAAACTTTTCAACTCAAGGAAGTATGACAAGAGTAGGAAGACATGAGAGAAGGAAGAAATTTATTGTTTCCACAAATTGCTGCAAAATTGCAGAAGTCGAATAAGGAAACGAAAGCCGCAACATAATTTCTTTATAATAAAATTTACAACTTTCAAGAAAGTTTAATTCCTTTTGATGCGGTAGCGTTGCATGGAGAAAGTAAGAAAGAAACTTTTACTGACAGTTGAAAAAGCACTTTGGATAGTTTCATTGTCTCGCCCCTTTTATGTTGATTGTTTCTCTTACGAGGATTTTATTTAGAAGGCAGGGAAAATTAAGCAGACATGAAAACTTACTAACAGAACAAACTTTCTTACAAGAGGCCTTTCAGATGAATGCGTAAAATTCTAGACTTGGGTTGTTTATTTTTTCATGCCAAAAAGAAGAGAAAAACTTTTAAGCATCTAAGTGAAAGTTGTTTCAAAGAGTGAAAGCCTAAAAACATAGAAAAATACTTTGGGAAATGGATTTTATTGTAAACAGATATGAACCTTATTCCATTTAACTTTAGATTTTGCGGAGACTTTTGTTGAATCACAAAAGATTCGTTTCATCCCTCTTTGTTTTTTAAAAACGCTTTTTTTGTTCATTTGTTCCCTTGAACATAGAAAGATTGAAGTTAAATTAATTAAGATGAGTGTGCAAGAACAACTGATGCCAAATGAGGTTTTCTATTTGATTGTTTGTCATGCAAGGGTTGGAAGTTCAACTTGAAGTATTGGAAAGAAATAATTTCAGATATCGTTAAACGAAAACTTTCCAACCCCCCTGACGTTAAATTTTTTGTCGAATTGAAGCTTTTGATTGTTCGAAGTTTAAATAAAGCACCACTTTTATATTTTCTACACTATTTGTGACTTTGTTAAAATAAATGTTGAAATTGAATAAGAATTAAATGTCATGTGAGGGTTAAATTTAGTGTTACGACTCAAGAGTGAATAAAGTTGAAAATTTTAGAAATCTTTGCATAGTCAAACAGCTGTGTTCATCAATTTTATAAACAGAAGAAGAAAATCGAATAAATTATTACATTTAACATAATTTTCCGAATTCTGATCTCTATTTATCAATAAATCAAATTTCATTTTTACCACTTGGATATCCATCCGAAACGCTCATACATGTTTCATGAATACATTTTGTGACGAAAATAAGAATGG